TCTTTGCAGATGTGATTATATGAAGAATCATGCAATGAGATGATCCTGGATTCTCCAGGTGGGCCCTAAATGCCATCCCAAGTATCCTCATAAGAGAGCAGCACAGGGAGTTGTGCTGGACATGAAAGTGGACAAGGTGATGTGAAGACAGAGGTGGCAAAGACCCAAGCAGTGTGGACACATGCCAAGCTTGCTACTGTCACCAGCAGCTAGAGCAGACAACCAGCAGATCTCTTTGGAGTCTCCACAGGCTCCAAGGCCCTGGGAACAAATTGGTCTTGGCCCAGGGAAACTAATATTAGACTTCTGACTTCCTTTAAAAAATCAGTTTCTGAGGTTTTACACCATTGAGTTTGGGGTGATCTGTTATGGCAGCCACAGGATACTAATACAGAGTAATAGGCAAATCGTTAGTGTGCCTAGTTAGAGGATTCACTTCGGGGGCAGCTTCAGGGATCACAGTTTTCTCACACAGGCACATTAGCTGCTCAGACCCCCATTCCTTCCCCCAAAGCAAGAAGGCCTTCCCCAGTGGCAGCCTCGCTTCCTAGAACAGAACAGAATGCAGCTCTGCCCACCCCGCCCCGCCCCACCGCTCAAAGCTCTTGGGGTAGCCCACCCGAGACTCATCTTTGTCCTTGATCTACTTGTCACCCTGACCAGGCTGGCCCCTGCAGGATCTCCAGTCTATTGGCCAGAGAAGGGGAACACAATGACAGCTCCCCCCTTCTCTCTGATTTGGGAAAGAAACATCCCTGGAACCTACAACTACTCCCTTTGCAAAAATCAGTAAAATGGGAAGAATATATATGATCTGATGGGACCCTGCAGCTGTATGCCCAACAGGGCACAAAGGTCCTTGGCACTCTTATGTGAATTTATCTTGCTTTATTCAGCAAGAACACACTTGTGGAAACATGTACACTGTACATTTGTATATGCTTTGTAACCCTCGAACCTAGTTTTAGAAGGTGTGCTTAAAGGTACAGTACTTTAGACAACAGTAAAGTAGGCTGAACTGGGGGAGTTGGATTCATAGTGCCCAGCCCTGATCTCAAAGTCCTCTCTCTACCCTGCTCCTCCTAGAATAAACCCCCTGAAGACCAAGGGTTGGGCCAGGCTGGTCCCTCCCGGGAGGATGGGCTGGAGGCTCCTCAGTCTGCACCTGGTCCCTGTGGCACTCAAGGAGGGCAGGCCATATGATGGGCCTGACACCGCAGGTCTCACTCGGATCCTTCTCCACTGTAGAATGAGAGAACAAGGTTTTGTTCCCCTGGGTCTCAGGCACCAGAAAGGCCTAGATTTCAGAAGCACCTCCAAGACAAGCCCTTTTCTGTATCAATAGGAAATGGGGGCCCGCCCCTGGGTTACTGTCCCCAAATTGAAGTGCATTCCACCCTCCTCCTGGCCTCTCCAGACACCTGAGCTGGGATGAGTTTTTGGCTTCTTCCGGTGTCTTTTAAACCAGACATCCACTCTCCTTGGGCTTTTAGAGAATGAGGGGTCTTGGAAGCTATGGGCACGTTCCTGGACAACTGTGTGTTCTTTGCACTAGAGGCAGGGGGACCTTGGAAAATAATATCCCCTAATTTACATCCCCTCCAGGAGACTATAACATAAGAGAAGCCAGCTGAATCTTGAACCAGAAGAGGTCTTTAAATGGGCTTTCTCTCTCATTTATTTTTCCTAGGGAGTATAAGATAAAGCAAGTGGCTATATGAAGAGTTTTGTTTTGTTCATTCGTTTTTTGGTACAGACAATACTACATTGGTGTTTAAAGTTGGCCTTAAATACCTACTATATGTCAGGTCTGTATCAGTAATAGATTATTCTGGGCTTAAGGAGCTAATTTTTTTTTTCTTTTTTTCTTTTTTTTGGTACTGGGGATTGAACCCAGGGGTGCTTTACCACATCCTCAGTTCCGTTTTTCTTTTTCCAGACAAGTTTTTAGGTTCTTGCTAAGTTGCTGAGGCTAGTCCTGGATTTGAGATCCTCCTCTCTCAGCCTCCCAGTTTGTTGGGATTACAAGTGTATGCTACTACACTTGGCCTGGGAGCTAAAATTCTATAAGTGAGGCCAACACATGAATAGATCATTGTTTTTTTTTTTGTGTGTGTGTGTGTATAATCAATCATGGTATATATCATGTCAAGTAAAAGTATCTGAACAAAGCCAGGCGTGGTGGAGCACGCCTGTAATCCCAGAGACTCCAAGAGTCTGGGGCAGGAGGTTTGCAAGTTCAAATCTAGCCTCAGCAAAAGCGAGGCACTAAGCAACTCAGTGAGACCCTGTTTCTAAATAAAATACAAAATAGGGTTGGGGATGTGGCTCAGTGGTTGAGTGCCCCTGAGTTTAATCCCTGGTACTCCCCCAAAACAAAACAAAACAAAAACCCAAAAGTATATGAACAAGCTATAGGGGGCACAAGAAAATTCCTGGTGGTGTAGGAGGTGTAATAATTAATTTAGGTTTTGGGTTGCACAGGTGGTGGGGAGGCAATTCCTAGCCCAAAACAAAGCAAGCACTCTTTTTTTCTGGGGATACCAGGAATTGAACTCAGGGGCACTTGACCACTGAGCCACATCCCCAGCCCTTTTTTGTATTTTTGTTTAGAGTTGCTTAACATCTCACCATTGCTAAAGCTGGCTTTGAACTCATGATCCTCCTACCTCAGCCTCCCAAACTGCTGGGATTACAGGTGTGCGCCACTGCACCCAGCTCACAGCAAGTACTCTTAATCTCACCCTCCTAAGCAACTTAATCTCACCCTCCTTAACCCAGTGTTGAGGGAGATTTAAGAAGGGTGGATTGGGCAGGAGGGCTGGAAAGCTATTGAGGCCCCCATCAGAATAAGTCAAGTCAAGGGGGTTCTGCTATGGGCCATGGGGAGCCTCTGAAGCCCTGTCCATCCAAAGATTGGGGCAGGGAGCTATTTGGGATGGACAGGAATAGAAAAACCCCAGGTCATAAGAAGTTGAAACAAGTAAAAACAGAGTTGGAGATAGTGAGACAGGTTTGAGATTTGCCTAGTTAAGTTGTAAAATGTACTTTGAGGGGGAGCCAGGGATAGGGGGAATTTTATGTCTTTTATCTTCTCAGTGCCTCACTCTGTGCCTGGCACACACAGCCAGTGCAAGAGGGAGTAGACTTGGGGTAGACTGGGCAGCTAAGCTGAGCAGCCCTGGGCACAGGAAGCTGCAGGGTTGTTGGCTATGCCCCAGATGTTTCCCAGCAGAAAGAGAGTGCGAATGCCAACAGGCCATCACAGGGTGGGCGCAAAACATTTTCCAAGGCCAGTTGTCTGGCTGAGGCGGGTTTGTAGGATGCTGTGGGGCAGTGAATCAGTGAGAAGAGCACCCCTGTGTGCACACTCTGCCTCGCCCCCACTGTGTGCTGGCATCTGTCTCCTTTCTCTAGCTTTCTCCGCCTCACCAGGACCTCATCTCTCCCCTTTCCTGAAAGATTGCCCTCGGGTTTGCCAACTCTACAATCCCTGGGAAAGCCTTTCCAACAGACTGCAGGAAGCTTAGGGGGAGTTGAGCCAAGTACCCAAGTTTGGGGTGGGAGGCCACCACAGTTCTCCTTGAGAGTCTGAGAAAAGTATAATCCAATGCAGAAAAGCCAGTGCCTCTCTGCCCACACCTGGAATTTTGCATATGATTCCAAGGGCCTGAAACCCAAGAGGAGGGGGGTGACGATGTTTGAGGTTGTGGTGTCCTGGAGAACCTTGCCCCAGGGGCCTGTGCCCTCTGTTCCCTCCTAGGGAGATCTTAACAAGGGGCCCTTCAGGTCATATGGGAAGCACAGCCCCCAACCCAGCGCCCACGGAGGAGCTTTGGCTTTGGGTGGGGAGAGACAACCTGAGAACCGGTCTGCCAACCAGTTTAACCAGGGACTGGTTTCGACTCGGGGAGTTCAAAGTGAGCAGCGGCCTTTAACCCTTTCCCAGTAGTGCCCTGGGCGACGGAGAGGTGGTGGTCCATGCTAAAGAGGGGTCAGAGTCTCTTTGGACCATGAAATGGTTGAGGGTGACCTTGGCCACAGCTGGCCAGTACAACCAGATACCCAAGAATGGGGAAACTGAGGAGAGAGACTCCCATGCTTCCTTACCCTGGACTTCCCTTGGGATTCCCTCCTCCAGGCTGGCGGTCCCAGGAGGACCCTGGCTTCTGGATAGATGCAGGGTCTCAGGGATTGGGTTTCTGGGGGTGATGAATATTCATCAGCCTGAGCCAGCCTCTGCTTCTGTTTACTTAGCTGGGAGGGGCCGGGTTTCAGGTTCACCTTGACTCTGGGAGCTGCAGCGGAGCAGGTACCCGCTCCTGCACCTGTTTCTTTTGCACCTGACGTGCAGCTGCTCCTACCCACCTCTCCTGGCTGAGCCTGGCCTGCGCGGCACCCTGGAGGCATCCTCTCCTCCCCCAGCCTCACCCTCCCAGGGCAGCTCCTCCACTCAGCTCCTTCTCTAGGGAAGGTCTCGCCTCCAGTCCGGAGCAGTCAGAATTACAGGTACAAGCAGAGGGCCAGTGGGTGGGGAAATCAAGGCACAGTCCCTATTTGGGACTCCCAGTGCTGCCTCCATGGCTGACAAGCCCAGTAGGGAGGGGGAATACAGGGGCTATCTACTTCCAATCTCATCCCACTGGCCCTTTGGAGTCAATCCAGGCCTCCAACAGAGGTCCTGCTGAGAAAGTCTTGCTCCCAAGCAGTTAGTTCTCTATTAACTCTAAACCCAAGCCCACTCCTGTTCCTCCCCTAGCCAGGACGACATGCCTGGTTGTCTGGTAGGAGCACCTCACTTTTCCTATCCAGGGTACTCTAATTATCCAGAGTGGACAAGGGCCATGAGGGACCCTGCTGAGGGTGGGGGAAAGGTTCTGGGTTTTCTCAATGCAGAAATTTGACTGACTCCCTCCCTCGCCTTATGCCCTTTCCCCAGTCAATGGTTAACTTGTCTCAACTCAGAAGAGGCCATGCAAAGCCCTTCTGAGTAGTTCATTGAGCATACCTAGGGTGGTGGGGACTGTCCTGTGGCACCCATGTGCAGGGTGCTGGCCACCAAAGGTAGACTGACCCATGAGGAGTTTTGTGGGCCCAAAGCTGTGCAAATAGCAGAGGTGGAATTGGCATCCTCAGGGGCTGATTTTCATCATCCACGGATTGCAATGCCCCAGGGCAAGGGCCCAGCCCTCAGCATGGCCAGCTCAGGGCCCTGAACAAGCAGACTACAGGGCTCGTGTTACCAAATGCTGCATTTATGGGAGTTCCTATACCCTGTCCCTCAGCCTCAGAAAATTCCTGCTGGCCTTCTGGTGTCACCTGGGTTCTGTACCCTCCACCTGGGAGCTGTCACAGCCTATCCGGTACTGAGAACCAGATCACAACCTTCCCAAACCCAGAAGGCCAGCAAGATCGGGCATGGACATATGGCTGGAGATATCTTGCTCTTTGTGATTTTGAGTATTTGGGAAGTCTGGCTATCATACCACCTTTGAAAACCATCAGATTTTACTGTCTTTTAAGGGCCACTACTTAAAGCTCACTGGGTTATTGTATAAAGCAAATAGTTCTCTTGTTTTGCAAATTCAGATTTCCATATGTTAGGCTTGCCTAAAGGGACAAACACCTGTTTACTTGTGCTCAGATGTCCTCCTGAACAGGAGGGACAGGAGGGCCTGGCAGAGAGCATCCTAGGAAGACTAGGATACAAGTCCAGGAGACAAGGGCACCAATGACTTGGTGTCTTGGTGCACGCCCTAAGGCAGGATATAGGCCATCCCTGTTTCTATGGCTTTTTGATTCTTTTTTTTTTTTGTGAATTGTGGCATCTTTTACTCCAAGGAGTCAGGCTCTATGGATGCCAACTTGAAATATGGTCCCTATTTAAATAGGTATTTTTAAATTTGTTGAAATAGGTATATTTTAGCTGGCACAGGCAGAGGCCCCTTGTATAGGTTTAGGAAATCGGTGTTAGAGGAGTTTCGGGCACTGGATCCCCTTTCCCTGCATTCTCAATTCTCTGGCGGCTCCACATGAGTGATGGGGGGGCCGGGATACCCAAAAAAAAAAGCAGCGACTGGGGCACCCACAGAGCAAGCGAGCACCCTGTTCCTCCTTCCCTCCCCTCCCCACAGCTCCTTCCAGAGGCCCATTCTGGAACACCAAGTTCTGTGCAAGGCTGTGCTAAGCCCAGGTGGGGCAAGCTGCCAAAGCAAACCTCTCAGGCCGTCCCTTGGTGTACTCACCTCTCCAGGGCACCCTGGAAGTATTGTGCCCTAAGAGGAGCTGCCCAAGGTCTCTCCTTGGCGTCTCTTGCTATTTGAGCCCAGCTGAACGGGCAGAATGGGAGAAGTGGGGTGTGCTTTTTGGACAAAGAGGTGGGAAGGAGTTCCCACCAGCAGGTACCAGGGGAAGGGAGTATGGCTGTGGAGGAGTGGCAGCAACAAGGGCATTCCGCTCATGCCCAGGCCAGGTCCTGCTTTCATTTTTCCTAAATTTGATATGTTTCTCCCTCTAAAAATATCTGTACTCCATGGAAATGAGAAAACCAGAAGGGAGAAAGCAGTCTCTATTCCTTTTATATAAAGAAAACCACTAACAATCATTTGTAATATTTCTTTTTTTTAAATTTTATTTTTTAGTTGTTGATGGACACAACATCTTTATTTTTATTTGTTTATTTTTATGTGGTGCTGTGGTTTAAACCCAGTGCCTCCTGCATGATAGGCAAGCACTGTACCACTGAGCCACAACCCTAGCCCTTGGCATATTTCTTTGTGATCTTTTTACAAAACATTGAAAAATCTATATTTAAAACTTATACTCCCAGCTTTGCAGGAGGTTCACAAGTTCCAGGCCATCCTGAACAACTTAGAAAGACCCTGTCTCAAAAGAAAAAATAAAAAGGCCTAGGGAAGTATGGTAGAGCACCCCTGGGTTTGATCCCCAGTAACCCCCCCCCCACACACCCCATAGTAAAGACTGTCAGCTTTTATAAGGAGGTAATATATTTGCTTGAACCCGGGCCACCTGGCCATGTAGATTTCTGGTATCTCCTGGCTTCTGTTCTCTCCTGGGAGCTGTCATCACAGCCCACTCCTAGGTGTCCTGAGAACCAGATCACAACCCTCCCAGACCCAGAGATGCCTTTATTTATCCTCACTCTGCTCCTCTACCTTCATTCCTCTGGTCTGCTGTCCCCCACTCCTGCCTTACCTGTCCCCCAGACATCGATGGTACCCAGAACTTCTGCTAGCTCATGCAGCACCTTGGTGGAACTTAGCCAAAGATGCGTCTCTGGATTGGCAGCTCCATGTTGGGGCACACGGTTTTGGAGTGGAGAAGCCTGCATTTTTTTTATCCTCACACCTCTCAAAGATCTGTCCTTGTGGCGGGGTGGTGGGGAAAGGAAACCATCCCTTAGTAACTGCCACCCTTATCCTAATTTTTACTTTGTAAAGCATGTCTACCTCTGTGGGCCAGGATTAACAGGAGAGCTAAATGTTAGGGCTGGTGAGGACAGATAAGGAAACTGAGGCCCAGAGAAGTGATTTACCAGAGGTCACAAGGCTAGACAGTGCCCAGGACTTCCCACTCCCAGCTGGAAGCTCCCCATTCTCTCATGATCCTTTTATTTTGTAAAGCAGGAAAGATGTATTTGGCTTATAATTTCACGGGGTTCAGTCCCTGTGGCTTTAGTCATAGGGGCTAGTTGAACATCATGGCAGAAAGTGTGTGGTGGGGGCTGGGGTCGTGGCTCAGTGGTAGAGCACTTGTCTCACGTGTGTGAGACACTGGGTTCGATTCTTAGCACTGCATTCTAAGCAAAACGCACAGGATGTTTCTGTCTGCGTGACCAGTCATGGTCTGCCCACTCTGGGCAGCAGGGCCCAATGGTGGATTGGGAAGGGCTTGGTTCTGGTGTCCAGATCCTGCATGCCCTGTGACCAGGCAAGTTGTTCCAGTGCCCACAGTCCTGATGGCCTGGAAGGAATGACCTCAAACCTTCCTATAGAGTGTCTCTGTGGGACAACAGGGTGTAGTTGTTCCATTGTCCTTCTGTCTGGCCCAGGGAGTCCCTCTTGTTTGCTTTGGTGGCTCTTATCCTAGACTCTTCTTTCTTTCACACTCTCCCAAAGCATTACATCACACCACCTATTCAAACCCTGGTTTTCTTTGGCCCTATCTTCAATTCTTCTTTCAACTCTTCAAATAATTGGTGATTGCCAGGCTCAGTGCCTCACACCTGTAATACCAGTAGCTTAGGAGGCTGAGGCAGGAGGATTTCGAGTTCAAAGCCAGCCTCAGCAAAAGTGAGGCACTAAGCAACTCAGTGAGACCCTGTCTCTAAATAAAATTCAAAACAGGGCTGGGGATGTGGCTCAGTGGTCCAGTGCCCTGAGTTCAATTCCCAGGACCGTGCCTCCAGAAAAATAATGTGATTACTAAAGAGGCTGGAGAGGGCTGATCCAAGCTGCCCACAGGATTTGCCCACTGACCTTTGTCCCCTTCCCCTGCTCCAGCAGAAAGTCTCCCCTCGACTCAGGGAGCGTCATGACTGAAGTTGGTTGGTGGAAGTTGACCTTCCTCCGGAAAAAGAAATCCAGTCCCAAGGTGCTGTACGAGATCCCTGACACCTATGCCCAAACGGAGGGAGGCACAGAGACTCCGAGGCCCGATACTGGAGGCCCCAACAGCGACTTTAACACTCGTCTGGAGAAGATTGTGGATAAGAACACAAAGGGCAAGCACGTCAAAGTCTCCAATTCGGGTCGTTTCAAGGAGAAGAAAAAAGTCCGGGCCATGCTGGCGGAGAACCCCAGCCTCTTTGATGACCAGGAGAACAAAGGACAGTGAGAGGGGCCCAGGAGGATGCTAGCATCTCCCTGCTCCTTGCCATCAGCCGGATCTGAGACAGGAGCTTGCCACGCTGGCCTCTGGTCATAGCTGAAGCCTTAGGGACAGTTGTTGCCTGCTGGCAGGAAACGTCTGGGTTTTAAGTTTGTGTTTCTGTGCCCCAGCTTTGTGTAAGGCCTGGGAGACCCCAGGCTCCCCTCCTCCTCCCCTGACCACATACAATGGCACTCTTGAATGAGGAGGAAAACTCCCACCCTGGAAGCACAGCCCTCCTTGGAGGTGAGCAAGGGGAGTAGAGAGGAGGAGTGGCAGACTCCACCTCCCCTGTGAACACAGGGTCAAGGGTGAGTTTGAATTGCTGCTCCCTCTACTTTCTCTACTTGTAACTGTTCCCTGGACCAATCCTAGGAAAGCACATTTTCCAGAAGCCACAGCCACGTGACTGGGGGAGGGGATGGTTTCCTTGGTGCCAGAGGCGGAGATGTTGAACTTGAGCTCACCTCTTAACACAAGTGGTAAACTTCCTGGAACTTTGCCCCCAGGTGTGGAGTAGCCGAGGACCCAGTCACTCCCTGGGAGAGCTGCAGAAGGCCCGACCAGTGACTCCCCAGGTTTCTGTGTAGCCACTTGTGCAGAGACCCTCAAAGGGAAGCCTCACCAGCCAAGGAGCCAAACTGGTGGTGTGGGTGGGAAAGCTCTGGTAGGAACTAAAAGCAGCCAGTTTTCTCCTCTCCTCCTCCGATAGTATTTAAGATATGAATCATGGAGCTTTGAATTTTGTTTAAAAAGTAATTGAAGGTTTCTCTTTGTGATAAACAATTCTGTAAAAGCAGAGAGTCTATTTATGCTCTTATCTTGCATTTATGGAGATGTGTGTTTTTTATGTGCTCAAACTGTTTCTTAGAGCTTCAGGAAGTGTCCTCAGGTGTGTGAGCATACAGGATCTTGTTGATAATTCCACCATCCAACTAGGCTTAGTATGGAGGGAGACAGGAAGGAGCTAGTTATACACACTTCAATGGTTGGTTCCTTCTGGGCAACAGAGAGGCCATAAAAGTGGGCCAGAACTTTAGTGACTGATCCTAAAGTCTCTGTGTGGTTTGGGATCAGGATTCAAATGCTGGCTCCCCTCTACTTAGTAGTTGGGTGACCTTGGGAACATTTTCTCAAAGACTACTCTGAGCTTCAGTTCCCTCTTCTGTGAAAGGGGTTGTAGTAGCACCTATTCATAGGGAGTGGTCTGTATGAAATGGCCCATAAGGGGTCCCATACTAGGTGCTCAGTTAAATGTTGGTTTCCCTCTTTTTTTCTTTATTACAGAATAATAAAGAAATTACATCATGCCCACAGCTTCAGTTTAAGAATGAAACAAGAACCGTCTTCCTATAATGTTTAGGGCAGGTTCTTTTTAAAGGCAGGAGACCTGGGAACTGGAAAATATTGGACAAATCTCTGGAACTTATGGTGGGAACAGGGAGAGTCCAAGGTGGCCACTGAACTATGTGGCCCTGCAGCTTCCAGATAGCTTGTTGCAGGCTGCTGGGCCACCCCACCCCAGGGAACTGCCTGGAGAAATTTATTGCCAAAACAAACAGACCTATACAAGGGGGCCTTTGTTAGGTGCCTAACCCAGGCCAGGGGGAACTCAGAGGATGAGTGAGGGAGACCAGGAGTTGGAGGAACAGAAGGTGGGTTCAAGGGTGCTGCCTTCCTCAAGGACTCCTCTCCTCCACCTCCCCACTAAACTTTCTATGTTCTCACCAATTTCTCAATCCATACAGCCTCCTGTGGAGGAGCTCAGACCTTCCCTAAACATGTAGTCCTGCCTACTGTTAATAACTACCATTTTCAGAGCACTTATAACAGGTAGCAGGGACACAAGCATTCCACAGGCCTCCTCATTTAATCAGTTCATTGCAGGAAATGGGTACTATTAACCCCATTTTCCAGATGAGTTAACTGAGGCTTGGGTTAAATCACTTGCCCCTGGTTCAGGCGCTCAGAGGCAGAGCTGGGTTAAAGTCAAGTTGGTCTGTGCCTATAATCACTGCCTCTATGGCGCCTTCCACTAGAAAATGAGGTTCAGAACAAAGAAAGAAGCATTGTTAGTCACCTTCTGCAGAAGGGGAGTGGGGGAAGAGAGAGGGCAATGTCTGGGCCTTAGAATCCTGGGAGGTGAGGGCCACTTAAGGGTTCCAGATAGACCCTGGAACCGTAGGGAAAGAGCCAACAACCTCTGGGCTGGCTGTACTGTAGACCCCATATTGTAGGACTTCCATCACAGCCCAACTGGGGGTCCCTGAGGTGGGAGATGAGGATGGGCCCTGGGACTGCATTGCCACCCACTCCAATATCACCATCACCCCTCTTAAGTAAAAGGGTCTGGAGCTCCCTGTCCCTTGCATGCTGATCTTGCTTACAACCCTGAAGTGATCGTCACAGGAATCTTCCAGGAAAACTCCACACATATACAAAGAAGTTGCAGGGCTAGCTGGGATAAGATGCGGCCACCCAGGAGTCTGAGCAAGGCAGCTGAAAGTTTTCAGAAGACAGGAGGAGGAGGAGGCAGAGGAGAAGAAGGAGGAGGAGGAGGAGGAGAAGGAGGAAGGCTCCCAGGACTTGGACCAAATGAACATAAAGCTTTTTCCAGGAGCGGGGAGAGGCTATGGGTTATCGACCACAGTTTCACTGGGACACCACCCAAGTGGAGGAAGGGGGAAGCAGGCAAGGCTGGCTGGAACTGCCTGCTACTACCCCAAAGGGGCCCACTCTGGGTGTCGAGCTCCCCCTGCTGGACGTCCAACCTGCAAGACAGAAGCTGGTAAATTCCCAGCTCCTCCTTTCTTGGGAGGTGGGGGAAATCAAGCCAGGTTAAACATTAATACCACACTTGGTTGACAGGCTTTTATTACACACTTGGCACAGTAATTGATAGAGAACTGAAAAGGAACACCTGAGACCAGGCTCGAAGCTGAGAGGTGACACAGCCCGAATAACACAGATGGGGTGTAGTACTTTTCACACATACACACACACACACACATATACAAACGTGTGCTCATAAAAGTTGCAGCCATGGCACAACAAAAGGGACCAAGTAGGTAAGGCTGCCCAGTAAAGTGACCACAGGGTCAATGTGCCTTCCTCCATTCAGGCTTAAGCAGGGATCAACACAGGAGAGGGCTGCCCTTGGAGGACCCTGGCCAATAACAGACTGAAGCCCACACCCATATAGTTAAAGGAAGTACAGTTTACAGAGTAGCAAGTTCAAGGTCAACCAGTGCAAATAATTTTGGCTCTGTCACAGCAAATATTTACCAGCCTGGTTCCTCTCCATGGCCAATAGGCCATTTGGCCATGTCCCTAGTCAGCAGGCCTGTGCTCAAGAGAAGCAAATGCAGTGTAGCACAGTAGACAGACAAGGGCTATGAAAGGCTCACCAACTTTGTGAGTGGGAGACCTTGCTTTAGAAGTTGAGGCCAGTGCATCTGGTCACTGGGAGTCTTGTAAAAATGCAGAACTGGATTCATTAGGTCTGGGTGGGACTGACGGCTTGTACCTCTAATGGACTCCCAAGTGATGCTAATGCTTCTGGTCCACAGACCATATGGCAAGTGTCAAGAATTTCAGACTATAAGGTCTCAATTTTGGCTGCACAGATTTCCCTGAGGGGCATTTAAGTTCCCCAATGCCCCGGCTGCACCGAGATCAGTTAAATCCTCTCCAAGGATGGGATCTAGGGCATCTAGAGTTTTAAACTTCCCTGGGTAATTCCAATGTAGGTGAAAACCAGTGACTTAGGAATTATCTTCAGCAGAGGTGAGGAGTAGGGGAAGGGAGTGCGTGGATAGTCCAAACAGCAAATCTCTATATATAATAATTTTATATTTGGAAAATAAGTATATGTGTACCTACACGTGTGCATGCCTGCGTACACTAAATTTCCATAAATGTACATGGTCAGTTAAGTTTTATAAAAATCTTTCTGGTTTATAAGTAACAGCACATGAAACCTTCTACAAAATTTCTGATGGGCTGGGATCCAATACATCTAGTGATAGAACACTCACACACAATAGATGGCTCATTCCAATTTCTCTCCATATTGAGATGAAACCTACTTATCTATAAATTTTACCTATGGGTCCCTAGGAACTATAAAGAATAAATTTAATCTTATGCATATTGCTATGTTTCAAATAATAGAAGGCAGCAATCAGTGGGGGTGAATATTACAAAAATAATCTTTCATAAATTAGTTCATGTTCTTTTATTTGTAAATTAATTCTAGTTTAATCTGAGAAAAGAAGAGGAAGAGGGAGGAGAAGGAGGAAGAGAATTTATATAGATAGTAGGGTGTTCTGAGACAGTAGGAGGAACCACACAGCAGAGACAAGACAAGGAGGGGTGCAGGGCAATGCAGGAATTGCAACAGTAGCAGCCAGAGGCTGTTTCTTGGTTGCTATTAATGACTTCTTAGCTACAATGACTTCCAAGGCTCTGGGTCTCTCCATTTCAAACTTCAAATTATTAACAAGAATATGTGATTGACTAGATTGGTTCAGGTGCCTGCACTGGGACCAATCAGTTTGGGGCAATACGGTTTACATAACAGACTGGGAGTGGGCCAGAAAGGGAGTCACACCAGCCACCACCCCTAGGGGGAGCTATTAAAAAAATCACAGGCAAAGTTAAAAAAAAAAAAAAAAAGGGATGATTACAGGATTCTCCCGCATGTGTGGTTCTCTAGATTCAGTACAATCCATTCCAGCAGCTAACTGATGCCCAACTGAGTACACAGAACTCAGAGAAGGAGATCTGGAGAGCCACAGATATAAAGGGTGGGAAGGGAAATGGACCGAATTTTAAAAAAGGGCCAGGCTCCCAGTCCCACACCCTCTCAGCACCTCATCCCTGTTGCACTCTAGCCAGCCTCCAGTCATGGTGCAAGTCTCTCATAGAGCCAGCCTTCCTCCCCGCGATGAGTCATGGGCCCCAAAGGGGAGTCTCCTATAGAGAGGTCCCGACGAAAGACAATCCGGTCATGTAGCCGGTTGGTTTGGCCTTGCCAGAACTCTATCACCTGCGGGCACAGGACATAGCCGCCCCTAGGAGAAGAAGCAGAAGTTCACTCTCCACTCTCACCCCTCACTCCAGGCTCTCTGGCATCAGATGAGCATAGCTGGGAGGAGCAGATCTAGAATTCCACACACAGGGGTCCTGATGTCCACTTCTGGAGGACAACCTGGCATCACTCACCAGTATTTGGGCTTGGGCACCTCTTGTTCCCGATAAAGCTGCTCCAGTTCCTCATTTTTCTTTCTCAAATACTGTTCAGGAGAAGAATATGGAGGAAGATCCAGGCCCAGCGATGATTCATTTAAGGACTTACTGATTTTGTGCTTTGGGCTAGGGGCTGAGGACACCCAGGTAAGCTAGGCAGACTGGAGCACAGTCAACAGAAAGGCCAAACAAAGGCAGTCCATTCCCGCCACCCCTCTCTTCCCTAGGGAGACCATCCTTTTCTCTTTGCCAGAGTCAGAGGGCTCTGGAATTCCCTGGGGAAACCCTCACCACTTGGAGGACTACAGGGGAACCCCACTCACCTCTCGATCAGGGATCACAGAACTCTGGTGGCTAACCACAGCACCAATCTGGCTGCTCTTGGGGCGGGAGTGGAAGTAGCACTCAGCCTCCTCCTCAGGCAGCTTCTTCACGGAACCCTCCACACGCACCTGCTCAGGAATGGACCCTGGCTGGGTGGCTTTCGATGCGGATGGCCCTTCCTACCAGCACAGGACCTGATTCTATGTGTTCTCTTGGCTGCCTCTCCTCTCCTGCCCCAGATAGACCAGCTGACTCAGCGTTGTGTGAGAGGCAGGGTGCCCAAACATAGGCAAGATATGTGTCCAGTTGGGGAGCCTTCTTTAGGCTAATCCATAAACGTGTCCACACGAACTCAGTTCACCCCAGGCTGTCCTGGGAACACTCACTTACCTGGCGGTTAAGGGGCTCCCAGTAGAAGACAAGGGAAGCAAAGGGATTAGAGTCCTGGAAATGAAAGAGAATTCATGGATAACCATCAGGACAGAGAGAAGATACTTCTGACATGCAGGGTGAAGGCAGGAAATATGCAGCATGCAGGCTCCCAGCAGATGCATTCATGGTTATATCATTTAAACCCTCAAAGATAGGCCTACCGTCCATCACAGATGTGGAGACAGGCTCAGAGAGAGTGTCAGAGTTCACATACTAAGTGGAACAGCTGGGTTTAAGCCAGTCTGACTCCAGAATGAGATTTGGGCTGGCATCAGTGGTGCATGCCTGTAATCTAAGGAACTTGGGGAGGCTGAGACAGGAAGATTGCAAAATTCAAGACCAGCCTTAGCAGCTTAGTAGGGTCCTAAGCCACTCAGTGAGACCCTGTCTCAGAAAAAAAAAAATTCTAAAAGGGGTTGTGGCTCAGTGGTAAAGTGCTTGCCTAGCACATGTGAGGCACTAGGTTCGATTCTCATGTATCATATGTAAAAATAATAAAATTAGAAAATAAAAGTTCACTGGCAACTAAAAAAAAAAAGTCTAAAAAAAATTCTAAAAGGGTGGGGACTGTAGTTCAGTGGTTAAGCACCCCTGGGTTCAATCCCCCATACCAAAGTCAAAACAAAACAAAAACCAAAATAACAACAAAAAATGAGTTTTGGCTATTTCTGTCAGTCATAGATTTGTGAGAAATGCATGTTTGGCTGGCATGGACTTAGGTAGGATTTCTCATTTTGGACTTATTCACTGAGTGCATACAGAATGCCAATTTTGTGTCCGACACCATGAGAGGGACTGCAGGTAAAACAGATAAAAAAGATGCAGCTTCCTCATTATTAAGTATAACTACAATGCATCTATTAAAAAAGTTTTTTTAAAAAAGGATGCAGCCTCTATACCCATAGTTACTGTTTAGCAGAGGAGACACATATTAGTCAAACAATCACATAAATAAGCACATAGTCAAACTGGAAAAAACTGGCAGAAAGGAAAGTTGCAAGTTAAAATGACAGCCAACAGCTTCAGAGCTGACTTGGCTGACTCTTCTGAGGAGGCAACACTTGGGCTGAGACCTAAAGGAACAGGAGTTAATTAGGCATCTATCAGATGATAGAGGTAGGGGTGGAGAAAGAGAATTGCAAGTGCAAAGGCTTCAGGTGGAAGGGACCCTGAGCTCAGGAGCTGTGGACAGGGGTGCAAGGCATGAGAAAGCCATGCAGGCAAGGGTGGAGGCTGGGCCCACAGGTCCTTCGAGGATTGACCCTGAACCCTCACCAGCTCTTTTCCTTTTCGACTCTCGTAGTTAGTGAAGAAGCGGAAGCCATCCTTGCCAAAGCCCTTCAGCAGCAACATGCGGGCAGAGGGTTTTCCGTCTCTAGGGGCACACAGCAGAGCGCTGTAGTGAGAACCCAGTTCACTGTTCTTGCCTTGATCCTCCTTCCCATAAGATGTCTGAGCATCTACTCTGTTATGCCCCCTTATTTGGCTCTCAGGCAACCCACTCCCATGTGCCCCTAGGGACTTGTCCTGGTGGTACAAATATGACACCACTGCCTGGTGCCCTATCATAGACTGTCTATAAATCCATATGTTGAGGCTCTAACTTCCAATGTGACTATATTTGGAAACAAAGCCTTTAGGGAGGTCATTAATGTTAAATAAGGTTGTAGGGAAGGGGCCCTGATCCAATAGGACTGGCATCCTCCCAAGAGGAGAGAAAGACAACAGCGCTCTCCCATGCATATACAAAGGAAAGCAAGAACACAGTGAAAAGGCAGCTCTCTTATAAGCAGGTAAGACACAGACGGGTCTTACTAGAAAGCAAGCCTGACAGCACCTTGATTTTGGACTTTTCGCACCAAGAATTGTGAAAAATAAACTTCTGTTGCTTTAGCCACATAGTTCTAGTACTTCGTTATGGCAGCCCTAGCAAAATAAGGCCCTAAGAACAGGGACCAACAATAATGCCACCACCCTGTGCCTAGGGGTCATAGAAAGAGCTATAATATCAGGTCCTCTGCATGGAGCTCTGAGGGATATCCAGAATAGTATAAGAGCCCTGCCTTTAAGCCCTGCACTTTAGTGAGGGGGTAAAAGATGAATTAAATAAGAAGTTTTGAGATGTGCCAAAGGGTATATGATTGATTGTCAAAAGTGAATGATAAGAGCCAAGCACTGAGCTAGGATTCATGACAGGGACAGAGCTCCTGGGGTGACCCCATCTTGAAGGGCAGATGGGGCTTGGGCAGATGGGGAGAGAGGCAAGGGGTTGTGAATGGGTACATCAAGGGCAGAGATGTACAAGGAACTCCCTTTAATCACTGAAAGGGAATTTAGTGGCCTCATTTTTGGTTTACCAGTAAGGTTCGGTTTATAGAGGCCCAAAGAGGATAAGTGACTTGTCTATGTCACACAATATTTTAATAACTGAGGTGGAACAATAAATTTGGCTTTCTAATTTTCCAAATTCATCTGTACCCAACCACATGAAACCCAGAGATATGCTCACCTGGTGCAGGTGGCCAGACACATGGCGTTGGCTTCCCCGATGTCAGGGCATTGAACAGCCTCTTCAAACCAGGAAGCAAACTGCTTAATGGGGTCCAGAGAGGTCAGATGAGTTTCTTCAAATGCCTGGGAAGAAAGTTTTACTTCATTTAATAGACACATATAGTGCTTATTATTTACCTGGCACTGATCAAAGAACATTTTCTGTAATACTGGGGATTGAACCCAATGGTGCTCTACCACTGAGGCACATCCCCAATCCTCTTGTTTTTATTTCTTATTTTGAGATAGGGTCTCACTAAGATGCCCAGTCTGGCCTTAAACTTGCAATTCTCTTGCCTTAGCCTCCTGAGTTGCTAAGATTGTAGAATGACACTACTTGCAGCTCTTTCTGTCCTCATAACAATGGCTTCACAACAAAAAACAGTACCCAGGAGATAAGTTCTATGCCCTATTTTACAGGTGAGGAAACACATACACAGTCTAAAAGACTTGCTGGATCCCACAACTAGAAAGGAATGAATCAGGGTCTCAGGATGTCAAAACTCTCTGTGTATCGGAATCACCTGGGGAGCCTAAAAAAGGATTCCTGTGTTATCGACCCCACAAACACATGATAAATTTTCATGCAAATAGGTCTGAGGTTTAATGAGATACTACATTTTTTAACAAGCATATCTGGAAATGCTCGAATGCAACCAGATGTGGTAACCATAACTGTCTGGATTCCCGGTTCCAAGATAATTCTCTTGTTCCCAATCCTGAGAAGGGAAAGAGGTAAGCAGAAAGGAGGTGCTGAAGGTAAGTGCTAAGATCACTTATTTAACTCCCTCCTCCTTATAAGCTGTTTTATCACTGTTATAACACTTATCACTGTTAAGTAAGTACTTTATAGGTGAGGAAATTGAGTCCCAGAGAGGATAAGTGCATTGCCCAAGGTGACAGGCACAGCCAGTAGATGGGTGAATTCCATCCCTGATGGGCTTCAGAGTTTGAGCTTTAACTAGGATGAGCTTCCTCTTGACCCACCTTCATTCACGTCTCCCCTAAGTCCCTCCCCGATGGTCGTCTCTGAATCCCGCTTCTCCCATCAGGTGGCCCCTGCAAACCCCTCCCCTCCGTGGATGACTCCGCGGCCCCCTTCTCCCGCCCCTGCGGGAGGCCCTGCCCGAGCGGCGGCACCTCTCGGTCCCCGCGGTAACTCTTGCGCATTGGTCCCAGGTCCATGGCAGCGCCGCGGCTACACAGGTGGCGGAGGTAGCCCGGCCACTTAGCAGGTCGTCCAAACGTCACAGTGACGCCCCGCAGCACGCACGTCATGGGGACCGCTGGTCATGTGATCTGGCGTCGCCTAACCCTGGTTCCGTTGGGTTCGGAACCAATTTCTCAGCCTGGGCGTCTAACTCGGGAAGGAAGGATTTGCTAGCGACCCAGATAAGCTAACAGGTACTAAGTCCTCGGAGCCAATGGGTGTCCAGGATCGGAGGAGGGAGACAGACACGGAGAGGTCATTGGTTGGAGTTTTCCAGGAGCATGGCCAATTAGAGAGCGAAGAGAGGAACCCAGGGCCCAATGGGCAGCGCCTCCGGGGGCGGGAGCAGAGAGACAAGGAAATGCTGTCACCGCCGTTAACACGCACGTGGAGGTTTGTTAAAGGTATAGGTACTGCAGTAGCTCAGGTGGGGATCGGGGGAGAAGTCCCTGGGGGCTTGAGGAGAGTGGCCAGTAATAAGTGGGAGCCCCATCGTAGGTAACTGGAAGCCAGTTTTGGGCAGGAAGTTCCACCTAGGAGGGGAGGTTGGTGGACTGACAAAGAAAAAAATGGAAAATGGAATTAGGGGTCTGACTCCGAGGCAAGGTGAATTGGGACACACAGAGAAAGGGGCAGTCTGATTGGAGGAAAATTGTGGCTTGAGTGTGGGAGAGGTTGAAATAACTTTTATGGATCATACACTTGCTATGCAGTGGGGATGGGGGCTGGAACTCTGAGGTCTGGGGAGGTGCACTGGGGTCTGGAAGAGACTGGGATGAGAAGGGAGACCACTTAATGGGAAAGAAAAAGAGGGAAATTTGGGGTCAAACCATCCAAGATCAGACCCCTCTACCTCTTCTAGATTTGATCTCCCTCCCTCCTGCCTCATATCTCAATTCTGCTGTCTTTTTTCCATGATACCATAAACAATGGAATCATGATACCCTGTCCAATTGCACCAAAGTTTATACTAGCCAGAGTTCTGTTACATGAGAGGTTGTCACTTTCCCACCTCTCTCAGGCCTCTCCCATCTTGGCTGTTTCCCGTTTTTCACATTTTGCCTTTCCTAGGTAGTAAGGATAGTCCTTAGGTCAATGCCAGCAATATCCAAGGATATAGGGGAGCAGGTGACTGTGCAAAGCTACTTCCAGGCTCGTACATAAGACTGAGAAATGGGAAACCTGCCAATGCTCATCCCAGCTTTGACCTGGCTGGGGCAGCCTGGGGTTGAGGCCACCATCATCTGGAAGGTTGCTGCAAGAGCCATCTAGGCAGGCCCCTAGGACTGTGCCAGGTAAGAGGGACTCCCGGTCTGCCTGGGTGTCTGCATTGGATACCTGTCAACCTTTATTATGTATTCATGGCTTGAGCCATATAGAATCTGGAAGACACATTTGCTGCAAAGAAATTAGACCGTCTCAAGACTTGATTTAATCTTTGGATTCTCCACTGGTTAGATTTTTTGATTCCATCATGATTGTTGATTTTTGATTCCATCTAGATTGTTGACTAGACGTACTTTCTTGTTGAAGTTGCCTTTCCAAATGTCTTCCCCAACCCCCAAGCCCCTGCATGTGAACCTGTGTAAGCAATAATTAGTATCCTTCATGGGGCCATGCTCTTTTTGCACTCCTGAGCTATTGCTACCCTGGATCTGGATTCTAATGGGCACCGAGATTAAGATCATTTGTGTAGTTTGCTTAAAAGTCAAGAACTGCAGGGCACGGATGGTGGCACATGCCTGTAATTCCAGCTACTCTGCACGTTGAAGCAGGAGGATTGCAAGTTCAAGGACAGTCTGGGCAGTTGAGCAAGACCCTGTCTCAAAATAAAAAATAGGAGGGGCCGGGAGACGTAGCTCAGGGTTTAATTCCCTGAACAGCAGAATAGTTGCAGGTATTTAACAGATGTTGCCATAAGATAAAGGGAAGCAAAACAAGGGGACAGACAGTCCAGAAGCCTCATAAAGCGAGCAGATGTTGGATTTGTCTTAACAAGTGTTTGCCAGATGGACAATGAGACAAGCATTCAGGAAGAGGGAAGATGGTGAGTAAAGGCATGACACCTGGGGAAAGGGAGGACTGCTGCTGGAGCCTGGCAGTCAGAAACAAGCCAAATGAACCGGCAGAGCTCTGTGTTGGGTGCAGGAAGACTCCCCACGAAAGTGGTGAGGGCCAGGCTTTTTTTTTTTTTTTCCCTGTACTGGAAATGAAACCTAGGGGTGCTCTACCACTGAGGTACATTCCCAACCCTTTTTATTTTTTGATAAAAGTTTGGCTAAATTGCCGAAGCAGGCCTTGAATTATAGGCATGTGCCACCACGCCCATCATGAGCCATGCTTTTAATACACAATGATTCTATATTGAACCAGAGTCTAATTCGGATTATTTATTATTTAAGACCAGATGGAGAGAAAAAAGGGCTAAATTCTGACAGCCTCTCTCTTCCTTGACAATTATCGAGGAAATTCACGGCTCATTCCTTTTTTTAAAAATTTTCCCCCTTTGTCTTGAAGATAATAAGTAGGCTTGTGTTGTGCTTTTCTGTTTAGTTGGATTTGGTGTCTGGATCACTCAGCAGCCTGGCTGCTGGCTGTGACTGCTACTTATGCAACCCCTGGCAAGGGTTTTCTGAGTGGGAGAAATGAATTTTTTATTGGTGCTGCTTTTTCTCTTCTTCTTCTTTTTTTTT